ACTGGAACAATTTGATTATGACGAGTACATCGTCAGAAGATACAAGCTTTGGAACTGAGGCTTCAAGTAGTCCGGAACCGACGGCAAGTCCATCGACGGCAACATCATCGACAGCTGATGTAACTTTGTCTACGGAAACAAGCGAAAAACCATCAGTCAATATGAGCGATTATAATGATGGTGAGTTTTTCCAGATAACTACCTCATCAGTAATTTATTTCGAAATAATAAACGTTGGAATGATGGTTAGAGCAAAATATGAAGGTGAAGCAATATATACGCGTTAGAAACACGTCAATCGTTCGAAAAATTGTATAACAAATGAGGATTAGCATAAATATGATGGCCAGTTATAGGAGTACTACTTATTTTGACAGAGATCGCCGATATCAGAGTTTTTTTGAAAATATGGCAAATCCAGCTCTAGTGATGAAAAAACTCACGCAGTTTATTGTGAAAGCAAAAATATTCAAAAAAATGCATTGAAACCGATAAACCTTGGACAGAAGAATCAAACTATGTTGAAAAAAATCAAGTTTTCATCAAAAATATCTCATTAAAATAGACCATTAAACTCTCAAAAATATACGACCATACTTCAATAGAACAAAAAAAAGTCATTAAATTTCTTGGGGTACAAATCGACTCACACCTCACTTGCGGGCGTCAGGTCGACTATATAACTAAAAAGCTATCTAGACACAGTTATGTTCTAAGGAATCTCAGAAAAACTGTTCCTCTGAGTGTCCTACTCAGTTACCACTATGCATATGTTCACTCCACCCTCAATTGTTGCATCATTTGTTATGGAAATTCAGAATCGATGAAGTATTACTTCTCCAAAAGAAAATCCTTAGAGTTATGGCTTTCAAGGGTCCCAGAGACTCATGTAGGGATTTATTCCTAAATCTCAAAATTCTAACAGTCATCTCATTACCTATATAAACCTAACTATGTGTCTTATGTGAAGTCAAACGATGAAAACTTCACAAGCAGGAAATACTTGAGTCGAGCTACAGGATATACAATTCGCGAAAATCAGATGTTCTCGATTCCACTTCATCACCCATCTATTGTTTCACAATAGATTCACATTATGTCTATAAAATTACATAATAATCTTTCCATCGACCTTAGAAACCCCACAAGTCTGAATTCATAAAAAAATGAGACAAATTTGTATTTACTCAAAATCCATTTTATTATATCAAGGAGTACTTCAACCTACTCCAATTGATCTATATCCACAGCATACTTTCATTATATCCAATGTAGTTTTTATAATGCATTTCAATCTGTATGTGTGAACAATTCGCTTTCTCTTCTCCATTATTGTTATTTATTTTAATGTTACTACTACTACTAAAATCAAATCTCAAAAACTATCCTGGCGTACATGATATGTCACATCAATTCCGTAACTTTTTTGTTTGGATTTTTTTTATTCTTCAGATGAATAATTTTTCATCCAAATGACGTCAGTAATTGTGTCAAAACTATTGTCCGGGTTTTTGGCCGTGGTCTGCAGGTTTTTATGCCTGAAGTTAAGTCTACTACTGCTGTAGACGTTATCCAGGACGATGTGGTAACGGTCGCGGTGCCCGAGTTGGTGCTGGAGTAGTTGTTCCCGACGTTTCGACCACATTAACTACGATGGGCGTATTTTACTCTGGTTTTATATTATTATTATTATAATAAGGCGTGGCTTCCTGATGCTCTGTTTCAATTTTTCCCAAATCAACTCGATGGGATTGAAAACACAAAAATAGGGGGAAGTCTCAGTATAGTGTGTCCATACTTTTCAACAATACTCTCAAGAGCATACACATTTTCAAATGTTTTTGTATGTAAAACTTCAAATAGTTGGTTTTTTGTATAGTTATCTTTGAAATACAGATTGTTATCCATTAAAAAAACTTTGTATTTCATCTTTCCTCGAATTTTTATTCGGTACTTTGATGAGCTGTCGCGAATGATAGGAAGCGTTGTCAAGAACGATATCACTATTCGTATCCGAATTTGGGATCAATGTGTTTTCAAACCCTTACTTTAAAATATTAGCTTTCATGTTCTTATGATAGTCAACATTGCAGTCCTCAAGTTTTTTCCACATAATTTTAAAGAATTCGGAACCCGTCCTTTACTTCCTCCGCAATACACCATGATTAGTCGTGATCCTTGGTTTTAACGCATGTTAGGCGTACACATTCGCGAACCATCAGTCCACCCTTTCGTAACTGTGTCGTGAGTATCAAATAGAAAATTTGCCGTTGTTCTTGTCGATATTTAATTATTTGTTCTAAGTATTTGTTACGCAATTTCACTATTCTTCCGCTTTCCATAACTGCTTGACGTTTGTTTATTATTTTAAATCTAAATCCTAGTTTTTTTATTCAATTCTGAAGAGTTTTGTGACAGCAGCTCGCGTTATAGCCGGAAGTATTGAATATCTTCCTTGTGATTGCTTTTGTAACAGTCGTAAATTGTTTTTTCAATGATTTTATTAGATAAACATCTGGAGGTTTTGGTAATCCTGTATCACATCGCATTTTTTGTTCATAAGGTTTGTTTTTGACTATTACAGTAGAGAAGGGAATTTCGGTCAAATCTGATGTTGCTTGTAAATAGTTTGTTTCCCTCGAAACCAAACTTGAGATGTGGATTCTTATGTAGATCCAATGTAGATTCCAATGTAGATCGACCCGCAACTACAAAGAATCTGGGGGGAAAAGTTTTTCCCTTCACCGGCATTCAGGACCACTCCCAGGTTCACATATGCGTCGTGCTCTCTCAACCAACTTTTTGATTACCACCCTTTTTTGTCGTGGCTGGTTGTTAGAGTAATTGTTCAGGTATCTGTCTGTGCGTGTTGGTTTCCTGTACACTCTGTACAGGTCTGTTCAAAGGAACATCCAAGAAGGCTGGAGTCGATTGCTTGTTTCATTTTGAATTGGACTTTAGGGTCGGGGAAACACGTCAGTCATGTTTCGTCAGTCATATTTCGTAAATCAAAATAACATTTCTTTTGAGAATATCAATAGCCTCCCAAAGCTTTCTATGACGTAGCGTAAGCAATATATCCAACGATTCAAATTCAAATGGAATTGTGTCTTGTTTTATTTGGACCAAAATTTCTTCAGTCTGGCTGTGAGGAAAAAAACTATATTATTATTTTGCACTCCAAAGAGAATATTCAACATATATTGTTATGTTCATGGATTTTACAGGTATATGAAAAGCAGGTACCGGGTATCAGATATATCAGGTATATGAAATCATTTATGATAGAATAAGCAACATAGGTATAAATTACTCAGATTTAAATGTAATCAGTTAGATTTGAAAATGGTGTAATAGCCGAAACCGGTCAACAATAAAGAAATATAGTGGAAAATAGACAAAAGTGTGTTTTTGTAGGGCATCCTCATTGGATATACTAAAAAAAACACTTGAAACTATCCCACCTAACCTAGTGCTTCAATTTTTTTTGCGAAAAACAGGAAAAGGTTAATATAATGGTTAAAACCCCTCGTTTAGCCTTTATAATCGATGAAAGAAACTTTTTAGCCAAAACATCCCGACAGATAATATTTATCCAAACTGTATGTGAGAAATCCTTCATTCATCGATTCTCGAAGCTATTCATTACTTAGTGCAGTTGGCATACATTTTAAATACTGTATTTTAAAAGTAGAAAATTACTAGCTATTGCCCGCTCTTGTATTAACGTACAGCCGAAGCTACTGAACCTAGAATCTTGTAATATGCAGATAAGTTTTTTGTATAGCATAAATAAGCATCGAGAAAGGGAATCAGGAATATCAATCCCCAAGGCGGAAAATAGGGGTTCAAAGTTTGTATTGAATTTCGTCAGTTTTGAAGTTGAAGAATTTAAGTTTTGGGTTGAATAAAATAAAAATATTGTAACTATTTGTTTAAAATGGTCTGTCACGAAACTTAATGTGGCAAACCCAATTCTACGCGGGCGAAGCCGCGGGCAACAACTAGTTCATATATAAATAGTCCTTTTGAAAAAAATATTGATGATTTTACTTCTTCAGCTCAAAATTCGAATGCAATCCCGATGTGAGATAAACTGCATTAACAGAGAGAAGAGAAAAATGTGTTTCAATAGTCTCTGTTAATCAATTGAATTGTGATCAAATATTTATTTATTTGAGTGTATATTGAGTTAATGGCCTCAACAAGTTTT